AAAGCATATAATAAACAAAAATATTATATGAAAACCAAGTAATCCAACTTTCCCAAATATATCTCACTCTTTTTGGTGGTTTTTATTTTTAAAGTCCCAGCTCCTGGGATTCATGTGATTACAGGAGAATCTCAGCTGTTATTTTTTTAAAAAGAAAATTTCTAGCTGTCATGTTTCACACATTTTTAAAGACAACCTGTATTTTTCCCATTTGAACATCAGCAATAAACTGAATAAAATTGGCTCCAACACTGAGATGGAAATGAAGAGAAAAAAATCTGTTTTTTTCTCAGTCTCCAAGCCAGAATACAAAAGTGAGTAAATGATTAGGGTAGTCATAAAAGCCATTTGAAAAATTAAATATACATACCACTGAAGTTTATAAATTACAGAAGAATTTAAACCAGGTTGGGTCCTTTTAAAAAGAGTATAACATAATATACCAGTTTTGCACAATTAAACCTCAAGGCTAGGAACAGCATGAATTGATTCAATCTTTGCAGGTTAGTCTAACCTGCAAAGATTGAACCAATTTGCAAGTGAATAGATATTCACTTTTGATTCCAGAAATGCAGGCACATGCCTGCAGTGGCTCTGGCTAGAAGCTGGGGCGTGCTAGAACAGCCCTGCCTTCCCTTCAGCAGCAGCCGCAAGGCTGGAGGAAAGCTGCATGGTTGGAGGGCATGACTAGGCCCCGGCAGGGATTAAGTATGATAGTGGGGGCATTTAAACCCCCACTCTGGCCTGTAGAGACCCCAGACAAGGTGTAAATGGAGGGGGAGGGGAGGAAGCAGCCCTTGCCAGGCTTGTCCCCAAAGCCAGACACCAGCCAGGACAGCACCTCAGGTGAAGGGGGCTGGGGGTGGGGGGGGGATTAAACTCCCATGTCTCCAGGTGGGCACAGGACCCCAGCAGAGGTCTGCCCAGATTTCCCCCCTACCCCTGCTAGGGTGGCGGGAGGCCTGGCCAGAGCTGACCAGCATGACCCTGCTATCTACCCAGGGCTGGGGCTGTGGAGCTGAACCAAGCCAGCCTGTGGGTGCTGCTGAATGTAGGCACAGAGGAGCCAGCCCCTTCCCAGTGGGCTGCAGTTCAGGCTGGGGCTGCAGGGGCTGCATGGCTAGATTGTTCCCAGCTCCCCATGCCCAGGCCAGGCAGGGCTGTCATAGAGCTGCAACTGGCTGGGAAGGGCCTTTCAGGCCGGCTCAGAGGCATTGGCTGACCCCAAACCCAGTAGCTGCCTGATGCAGCCATGCCCGCTTTCCTGTGCAGCACCTGGCAGCTGCAGCTGCTACCGTGTCACTGGTTGCAGACTTCCCGGCACTGGGTGGGCTGTTCTGCCCCTCTTGCCTCCAGCTGCTCCTACTGTCGCCACTCCTGCTGCCACCCCTGCCCTGCCCCTACCACACTGCGCCACTCTGGGTGGGCAGGCAAGAAGCTTCAGCCCCGTGGCTTCTGCCCAGTGCATGGGGCTCCACCTCCAGCTCCTGGACAGCTTCCACCCACTCCGCCCACCTGCAGGCATTGCTCATCATGCTGGGCAGGCAGAGCAGATAGAAACTGTGCCCTGTGCAGAAGCCAGGGGGATGTTCTGTTACTGGTTTAAACCAGTTTCTGATCACTTAAATTGGTTTATGTGTAACTTCTGTCCCTAGCCCAAATGAAAAATGCCCATGAATGACATCAGAAAAACTCTCTGGGTGCTTCTGCATGTGCAATTATCATAGAGCAATAAATTCTGGCACAGTTCGTGCTGCAGTTAGTGGCTCCCAGGCTCAGCATATACATGTGCGCCCAGGACTGCAGCAATTGGAACCAAGCAGCCCCAGGCTGGCGACAGGCTTGGGGGGTTAGCCCTGAGCTCCAAGTTTCAGCATTGGGTGGTGTCAGGGCTGGCTGGGGCACAAGGGTGCTACAGTGTGGGACTAGCCAGCAGGCATCCCCCACATTGTAGCACCCTTGTGCCCTTGCCAGCCCCAGGCATTGAGGCAGTGTAATTTACTCAACTATGGGATAGTACTCCTCCCAGACAGTACTATCCTATGACAGAGTTAATTAATTTACTGTGCCCTAATATAGGCACATGGGTAGACAGTGACCCTTTATTGCTGAGCTAATTAGTGAGCTGTTCAGTAAAAGTGCATGTGTAGATGCACCCTTTGTCACCAAGACATAGAGCTAGAATTAAACTTTTAGTCCTTCTGGAAAGGTTAAAGGCAGAATTTTCTAATGTATTATTTAATGCTTGTTATGTAATGCATTAAGCAGTCATTGAGAGGAAGGCTTTTAAAAACCAATAGCCCCTCTGATAGCATTAAATCTTATCTTAGATTTTTTGTTAAGTCAGTATCAGAAAAATAAATGAATTAATACATTTAAGTCTGCCCGATTTATGGAGGCCAATCAAGTTACAATGCTGGACAGAGCCAAGTGAAAGAGGGGAATACATTTACCTGAGTGAGGTCTTAATTTAATCAGCTGGCCCAACAGACCTGAAGTCAGCAGCCTGGTATGATATAAGAGGCAGTAGAGAAATAGTGCTTTTACTGCAGTCGAAAAGGAGAATGACAGTGATAGAAAGGGAGGCTAGGCAGTGTCAGAACACACCTATTTCTGTGATTTATTCTTAATTTACTGTAATGACAGTCTGAAGGTTGTCCATTTGTCTTTAAGTGTCCTCAGAATACTGATATTTTTCTAAGCATTGACCACATTCTTTTTTCCCCTTCTGTGAACTTCACCACAAGTTGTTACTGAAAAGAAACTGTTCTTCATGGCAGAGCTGTAAGAGCATTTGCAGGTTCTAACCTTTTTCCCCTGTAAACTTGCCAACCAAAATCCCTTCTCTCAGTCAACATTGAATCAGTTCTAGAAATTATTAGCTTCTTCCAGATGAATGTTAATATTATGGTAAAGAGAGAAAAATGCATCACGTTTCTTTAACAATTTGTATTGGCAAAAGAACAATATGTATTTTCTAGTACAATAGCTCATTTCTATTATCAAGTGAATTTATTGATGGCTGTTCAAAACTACTTACTTGTAGACAATCATCTGAGATTGCATTTGCATTTCTGGAATCCTTTCCTTCTTTCCAATTCCTGCCAGGAATTGCTTCCTTGATTAAGGGTGCATGAAGTCATTACATCTAGATCAGCCCAACTAGGTTTAGGGCCATCTAAATTCCGATCTGTGCAGATATTGGGGGGCGGGGGGGTTACATCAGGCCAAAAATGGTGGGGCCCAATCTAACTTAGTTCACCTGAGCAGAAATGGGTTAACCTGATCCAGCAAACGGCTGCCTATACAAAGGCTCATTGGTGTTCTAATTAAAATGTTCCAGCAGCACTGCAATATAATATGTATTAAGCCTCCACTCCTCATCGAATGAGGTTTAGATAAAGCATCCCATAGCCATTTTTAAATGTGCTGGGGCTTAATACACATTATGCTATGGCGTTTTACTCTCTGGGAACCATTCTAAATAAAATGTCCCACCTCTGAGTACATGTATAGGCAGCCTACATTTTCAGAGTGCAGCCCTGGGGCTGGAAAAGCCCAAGCGCTTGCTTCAACCCTGGGGCTGCTCTCTTCCTACCCTGCCTCACCCTGGCCAGGCTATTTTTAGCTCCTCTCCCCACCCTGCTGGACTCACCAAACCCACTTGTGGACACACTAGTCCCCCCTCAATCCCACCCACCTCTCCCCACAGTCTAAGTTTCTTACACCAGGTTCCTGGCATGGCTCCTGGAACCAGCAAATGCTTATACATACTCCCCCCACCCCAATCTATGAAACTTGGCTTAAAGTAAGCCATTTGATCATAGACCAGGTGTGGCAAACATTTGTATGCACCTTTAGAGGTTTGATCTTAAGCTAGGACTGTTACTTAACCTGTATTACAGATCTAGGCATTTAGTCTTGTGCAGATATGCACTGCATTTCTTCACAAAAATAAATTTAAACTAGACATGAACAGTGGCTACTAATTTGTAAATTGCTTCAGGTTTTGAACCAAGGTCCCTCACCACTCAGAGAGTGCTCTACTAGTTAAACAATAGGATGTTTCAGCCTGGGTGTCTCTGCCATACCTGGTAAAGCTGTTCCACTATGTATAAGCTACTTAAATATTCATTAAAGCAGGAACTAGAACCAGTTTCCATAACCACTTGGGCATCCGATAATTCTAATTTTAGAGAACTTCAAGCACAGGGGAAATTGACAAAGACCTACCCCCAAAAATACTGTAATTTAGGATACTGCCTTCAAAGGGAGTAGGCTTTGGTTGAAAGCCAGATGAATAGCTGAACCATTGAACTATCAGGGATAGTTTTGTTATGTATTTTTAGTTTGGCCACAGCCTCAATATAGGAAGTCCTTGCACAACCTTAGTCACATTTTTCCCATCCCCATTGGGACTTGCAGCTTGCTAATGTACTGTCCAAGGTATTTTTAAAGATGCATGTATTCAATGTAGTCCTTAAGCACCCTTCACCCCAGGGAACCCCTGTAATTCCTAGCAGAATTTAAAGATACTCTCCTTCAAGGTGAATCCTCTGGGGTTTTGAGCAGAGAGGTGTCAATTGCTTTATATAAAATACCATACTTTGTATGGTAAATCAAGCATGAGGCCAGAGTAAATGTTAATGGTTAAATAAATTGTGGCTTTAAACCACAGTCCTTGAAAAGGGTAAGAGTATTGAGATACATTACACAGCAGTAACTCCTAAATGTAAGATATTTCATCCTCTACCTGAGCATGACTGACAAGTGTAGACACATAAATGTGCGCATGCTAATAGGCACCTAAGACCTCCACATCATCTAATACACAGTAATCCAAGAGGATCCATGTTTACAAGCAGAGGCCAAGCAATAAATAGCCTTTAGGAAGATATGAACCCCAAACCACACCTGAGTACATTAACTGAAACAAAATAGAGCTGTGTGCAGATGACACAGTATGATCATGGCATGTTTTCTTTTCTCGTTTTTCTTAGATATACTCAAAGAAAAGAAGACCTATCCAGACGATAGGAGTGAACCAAAACCAACTGTGAAAAAGATTGACACCACAACCACCACAACCACTGTAAAGTCATCTTCTAAACACAATGCTGGAAACATGGGCAATCAAGCCACAAGTCCCTCCCTTTCCATTATAGCAGCACTAGCAATTTTGTGGCATTATCTTTCGTAGCAGCATTATATGGCAGCAACTGTGCAAACATTTTTGTTCATTGTCATTTATACCTACAGCCTTACCCAACAGAAAACAAAGTTAAAAGGCTCTCTAGTATTATATGGTATGCTAGAATAAATCCTAAAAAAAATAGGCTGGGATTGGCTGATAGCAAGTATCAGCACTTACAATGTGTCTGAAGATGGTCCTTAATATTATCCACTCAAAACATAAAAGAGATGATTATAGGGGATCTGAATAGTTTAAATTATTGGATAGAAATAATTAAGAACACTAAAATTGTGAATTTATGTGTTGGCATTTCTCCCATTTTATTCACTGAATAATCTGACTGGCTGTTTCTGTTTGTTAGCTTCTGATAAATTCAAACAGATGATCAGTCTGTAAGCCAATATATACATTATTTCTCTAGTATGTGGCTCATAACTTATGTCTACAGTTGTAACCCATGGTCAAGTGAAGTACTGTCTGCCAGTTTGATAAAATTCCTATCTACCAGTTTGATAAGCGGTCAAGAAGATCAGAGCATGTTTGAACCTCTTGTTTTCACTCTAACTGTTTAGATTGTAGGAAGCAATATACAAAACATATGGTGTGTCTCTATATCAGTATAGTTGCCTTAACCATTTAATTTTTTTAAAACACTTATGTTTATTGAGGGGTATGGATAATGAGTTTCCCTGCCCTACCAAACTACTTTACCATATGCTCAAGCATATGTTCAAGGCTTACTGAATGAATGTCCGACAAAAGGAAACATAAGTAAACATAATAGGGTTTTATCCAGCTGGGTGCACTTGTATAACGAAAAAGGTTAATTTTGATCAAACTTATTTTTCCTGATTGGTGTTAAAAAGGAATTGAATTGTGTCAGAGAGTTGAGTTGTTTGGATTCCTCATACCTGTAAAGTGGTTACTATGGATCCCTGAAATCCAGTATGCTTCATAAACCAGGTATTATTTAATAACATTTACTGTTTTCAATTATGATAGCACAGTAATAGTAAATGTAAAATGATCTGCAAGCTAGAAAATATCTTATGTCCCACTTTGATTTGCTGTCCTGGATAGTGTCAATTCTAGATTTTATTGTGGTAAGATTTTTTTTTTTATTCAATCAACGATATATGATGAATTTTTTAAACTCTTGACAGAAAGGCACTATGATACATAGCTTCTAGTGGGTGAGAGCTAACGTATTTTCTGACAACTATGTTTATGGTGCCATCGAAAATACTATACATGCAGGACTGTATGAATACAGTGATTTAATATGATAAATATTTGAAACATTAAGATTGTTCTGTTTACTAAAGTTCATAACCAATTCATAGTTCAATGGACATTTTCATGCTGTAGACTATTTTGTACAGTTTTATAAGATTTAATGTAAAAACATTTGCCTTTGATTTTTTTTTGTAAAACATCTTTATAAATGCTTAGATTGACACAAGCCACAGATTCACAATTCAAGAGAAGGACCTCAAATCATATCAACCCAGTTTTAGTATTTTGTTGTTGACCTTGATTATAAAAGACAACCTAACTCAAGGATAGTGTCAAGTGCCAGCATAGCTATGGTGTCATGATATACAGTGACAAGAATGAGTGGCTAATATAGCGTCTTATTGTACTGATGTGTTTTCATGTGGAATTAGTGAAAGTGACTAATTGCCCTTATACTGGCCAAGCAGGGTTTTTTGGTCTTAGAAATCATGTAAGCACATACATTTATAATCAAAAGCATACAGATGTAGTCACAGGGGCTTTTGTATACAAGCTGAAAATGGTCAAGTCTTGCAGAGCAGAATTGTAAATTTTAATGCTGGAATAAGACAAAAATGAATGAGATGTTCCTAGAGCACTAACATGGAGCAATTAGTAAAATTCTGACTTCTTGATGTGTTAATGCTACTAAAATCATTAAGTTCACATCATGTTAATGAAAAATAATCTTGCTAACTTAATGAAATTTGCAGTCTTTCAATGTTCCAGAGTTCACCAATGCAACTAAGTGAATGACACCAGTCTATTCAAATATGTAATAAAAATGCCATGGTTATTCATTTTGACTTCCTTGATCTCCCTTGGAAAAGTGTATTTTTAGCCAGCAAGTGATTCCTTTTAACCCTTGGTAATTCTTTACAGATGCACAGGGCCAAATGAGATGTCTGTAATAAGAGAGAGAAACATGTCCAATAGGTACCCAAAACTGATTTAGACTCCAAAATCCAAATCATCAGCTCATGTAAATCAGCTTAGCTCCACTGAAGTTGTTCACAGATTTACAGCTGAGTATCTGGCTTCTAAGTCAATGCTGTCACATGTGGAAACATAAATCAATGTTAAAATGAGTATATCAGCACTTCAGTAGCTCTAATCTCTATACTAGATAGCAATCTAGGAATTCAAGATGGGCATTGATTCTCCCAAATTCCAGCTGTACTGTTTCAGGTTTTTTGAACATCACTGTTTCTCATTTACAGTTGGAAAGCTTGAATATCCATAATCAAGTGTAAGTTGATAAGTGTGCTTTTTGAAATTTACTCTTTAATAGGCTTTGTGATAACAGATCAGATCAAGAATTCATCTAATCCAGTACCCTTTAGCCCTGGTAGCCAGTACCAGCTTCTTCAGAGGCAGGTGCAGAAACCCTTCAGCGGCAGGTACAGGAAGTTACGGAATTCCTGGTATTTTTCTTCCTACTTTATTTTACCTATGTGTTGGTTTAGGCCCTGAAACCTGGAGGCATCTATACTTCTGCTAAACAAAAACATATGAAAAATTAAATGTTTTAATCTTTTATTTGATTTACAAATTCCACATATATTAAACAAGGGGACAGTTTGTAAGCACCATGAAAGATAACAGAACTAAAATAAGGCTACTCATACTTTAGGCTGAGAAATTAATCAGCTCACTTCATTGGATTTAATCAATATTTTAATAGACACAGATTGTTACAGGGGAGAAAGAAGGAAAGAGAAAGAGAGACTACAGAGAACTCAACATCTATTAATACTTTCCACACTAATATAACTACTCTACTGTATTTAATGCTGTAAGAGAGTAACGGTAAGCTGTAAGAGAGCGTGAAACATTCAGCATGTACATTAGAAGTATGTTGCAACTTTAGAGAGCCCAAAAGCACTAAAATGCGATGTTATGCTATATATTTTATCTAACACTTTAGAAACAGTTTTCTTCATGGGTGAATTGAGTTTATGCGTTATAAAGGAATATTCTTTCTCATGCCTCAAATTCACATTTTTAAATTAAAAAACAACTGACTATATCAAATAGAAATAAAACACAAGCAACAGCTTCTTTTAAAAGCTGGAGGCACCTTGAACACAATGATTAAAATATTTTAACTTCAGAAAGAATATTTTATATTTTCTTTGTAAGTGTAATCTAAAATGACACCCAATATAAAAACTTTCCATAATTTTTCCTGGCAATGGCAATTTTTGTTGTGGCATTTTGAATGTTCGTTGTTTCTTAAATGATCTGTTTTTAGTATTTTGCTATCCCAGTTATTGTGGAAGTAAAGATTGGTATATTGAAATCAGGCATTTGTGGGTAAAATGAGTACAGATTTTTTTTTTAATTAGTGGTGTGTACTACTTACCTTTATAGGACAAAATTGTCCTGTGAAGTATAGCCCCTCTTCAATACACTGCCAGTTTGTCTTGGGCCAGGAGGACTCACCCCTGTGTAAGAATGTGTATAGAGCCAACAGAGGACTTTGTATATTATCATTCCCTTCCTGTGGTTGTTAGTGCCTCATGGAGAAAAGTGGACTAGGTCAGGGAACAAGGAAAGGGTACAGTCATGATGCCTTCTTGCAATACTGATCCTCCATTGTGTTTTAACTGACAGAAGCTAAAGTTAGGGCTTTAGGCTACTGAAAATTAGCCTTAAGCTGCTCTAATTCAATGTAAGGAAGCCTTACAAAGACCTGGTTCTGGACTCTGAGAAGGTGCATGTTCAAGCAACTTTATACATGCCCTTTATGACTTGCATTCTGTGTAAATTAGCTGCCTCCCAGAATCTGACCCAAAATAATCAACTCTTATGTTTATTTCTGGACTCTGTTGCTAAAGTTATATCCTACTTCAAGAGACAAAGATTGTTTGGGGGGGGCAGTATCTTTTACTGGATCAGCTGCATGGTTGGGTTGAAGTTAGAGGAGCTTTCGAATACAAGGTCATTATCAAGTCATTTTGAATTATTTAGTCATTGTTTAGAGAAACATTGGGCTCATTTCTGATCATTTCATAGAATCATAAAGAAGTAGGGGTGGAAAGGACCTCCAGAGGTCATCTAGTCCAACCCCATGCCTGAAGAAGGATCATCCCTATGTAAACCATCCCATAGAAACCATAATCTAAGCACTACATAAGACTATTGTGAACCCTGAAACTACACAAATCTAACACCCTAACCTGCCACGGGTAAATCAGGAGAACCACAGCCACCAGTGTCCGTCCTGCTTCTATGAAATATTGTCAATATATGCTCTATAGATGCCATGTAGAGGGCTACACGATCAGATCTACTACAGACGAAGGCAAAACCCTCCACAGTCCATACCAATCTGACCATGGGGTTAAATTCCTTTCTGACCCAAAATACAGCAGTTGGCCCACAAAAAAGCAAGATCTTCTAGCCAGGAACCTCCATCTTTGGTCCTAGCAGGAACATTAGCACACCCCAGTCAAGGTCCCCATTCTTGGCTGTAGCCAATACCCAATGCCTCTGAGGAAGGCTTAAAAACACCCTGACACATGTCACAGAAATTGGGGGAGGGGACAAGCAATATGGCCAGAAGCATGGGTAATACCCATAATAAAAACATAGATATATCTATACCTAGATCATCCCTGACCGGTAGCTGTCATCCCCCCAGATAAGTCAACTTTTAAGGCTAAAGTCAACTTTTGAGCAATCCTTTACTTCCATTATTAAGGGAAAGTAAAAGATTGCTCAAAAGTTGACTTCAGAGCTGTGATGTGCCTCAGTCCAAAAATATCAACAGTGACGTCTCCCCAAAAATTCAAGTTTATTCCCAATAATACATACTCTGATATTTGTTCTATCAGTTTCTAAATTCTTTAATATGAATTGGGTTAACTGGTAAAACACTAAAAAATTAAAAATTATTCCTATGATAAAAGTGGGCTCTCTTAAAATTCATTTTGGCTTTAGACAAAATAGATTTCAGAGAAGTTTCTTGGAGAATCCTGCTCAAATGTATAATCTCTCTCTAAAGCTGAAATACTCTTTTTTTTTTTAATCGACCATTGTACAGCATAACCTAATGCATGCTTGTGAAAGACAAATTTTTCACATGTGAAAGACAAATTTATTGGTACAGGAAGGAGTATAGAAATAATCAGTGTGAAAGCATGTCTCCATATCATGGGGCAGGTATTTAAATCTATCTTGCCATTGCTCTGATAATTCTTGGAGAACAGCAGTGTCCCAATACTACTACAGTTCTCAGTAGAGAACACTGGATACAGAAGATGAGCTAAATTTTTGTGCTGCACCTATATAACCAAGATCAGTATCAAATCCTGAACAATATACACTATCAGGGCCTTATTGACATCAGACATATTTCTATTCTAAAGCAGCATTACATTAATTTATATATGGGATCACAGTGAACTAAAATCTACTCGTGTTTTCATGCAGTGCTGAAAGTAGTTAATTAAATAGCCAGAAACAACTGTTAATTTTTCATTTCTGTGCAGAATACTTTCGTACTACCTTGCACAATTACAGTTTGCACTTTATCATTTCAGATCTTCTTTAGTAAAGTTTCTAATACTTTGTAATTATAATATTTTCAGCTAACTTAACACCACCATAGACAATTTTTGTTGCATCATAAAAGCAATTAACATTTATTCATTTAGTCTGTTCCTGGGAATATATATATATCTACAATGGCCTTTCTGTACACCTAACTAGCACCTGTTTGAAGTACTCTACAGGTTATGGACATTTAATCTAAAAAAATAAATGCATTGCTAGTTTTATAAATTCTTAGCAAATATACACATATAAATATACTTTCAGCTAAGTATAAAACAATATTTTCACTATCTTCTGGGTTTACAAGTAAGGCTTCTAGGCTGTGATACTGAGAATGGGTACTGACAAGTTTCATGCACTTTCAAAATGGAATTAGTCAGAAAACTCTTCCATAATTGAGTACATTATATCAGATTTATAGCCTACTTTACTTTGTTATTATATGAAAGAACAGTGAGACATCAAGAACATATATTCTGATGGAATTCTTACATTTCTGTATCTGCATACACAGGAACTTATACTGGTCAGGATTATATCAAAATTATTGTTATGCAGGAGTGTTAAGAATGTTATGCTAAATTTGCAGGAACTGGATCAGACTGGTTAAATAACATAAGGAAGCATTTAGCAAAATATTTTTTTTTTATTTAGATGTCCAGGACATTTAAAAAGATTACTTTGTATTTCAAGAAAGGAGACCTAAGAGAAACTTTCCAGCATGAAGGCCAATACCAAGCATTTGCAACCACCACATTAAATGAATTCTAGGAAATTAGAGGAGTCTTGAGGCTCTCCCATGTTTTTGCAACATCACTTTATAGCAAGGGGTCAGATCCCAGGCAGTGGAAATAGTTTGGTGACTTCAATGGAACTATGCCAGTGTGCCTCATCAGAGGATCTGGCTCAAGAATATGAAATCCCTCACAGACTGTTTCAGGCACGATTCTGATCTCAGTTGTGCTATTGTAAATCAAGAGCAGCTATACTGATTATAAAATCTATCCAAAATTTTTCTACCATCCTCCCCCATATGGTATCTGAGCATTCTCCATGGAAAGTCTACAACCCCAGTCCCTCGTGGACTTAACAGAGTATCTAGCATGTTTCCAGTTTTGCAGTCAGCTTTCTGCTTAGGCTTGGTCGGGGGCTTTTTTGAGAAAGGAATGTTTTTAAGCATTGGGGACTATTAAGAAACATTCTTTTATGAGCATTGTTTATGCCGGAAAGGCTGTCTAAAGAAGAAAGGTATGTCCTAAGGACATTTAGTGCTGACTTCACCTCTGGAAAATTATTCCATAACTGGATTCCCTTCTCCCAACCACCCACATGCTTTGGCTAAGTACAGACAGTCAGAAGCCCAAGGTTAAATTGATTCAATCTTGCAAGTTAGTCTAAGCTGCATAAATTGAACCATTAAGCAAGTAAACAGACTTTTGGTTCTAGAAATGCAGCCGCATGCCTACAGTGACCCAGGCCAGAAGCCAAGGAGTTGCTAGAACATGCCTCCACGCTCTGCTTAAGCAGACAGCTTGGGCCAAGGCTAGCACACTGACCCTGCAAGGAGGGTTTTGCAGGGGAGGTGCAAAGCATCCTGGGATGTTGGGGGGCTGGGAGTTAACTTGAATCTCAAAGGGATCTGGGACAGAAGTTCAATAAACCAATTTAATCTAAATCAGTTAAGTCTGATAGATGGGCAACGGGTGCCACCTGAGTCACGTGCCCCCCCAGAGGCCAATCAGCAACCGGGGGGGGCAGTCCCCCCACAGCCAATCTCACCAACTGGGACGCTCAAGGAGCACTCCCAAAAGTGCCAGCAGCGCTCCTGGAAGTGCCAGCGGTGCTTGACCTGGTGACCCCACTTCCCAGTCGGTGCTCGCGGGGGGGGCAGGCACCGGCACTCCCACCTCCCACCCCACCCATCACCTACGTGGGGAGGGCTGCTTGTCAGGGGGTGCACTAGTGCTCTCAGGGGGTGCATGTGCACCCCTGTGCACCCCCTACGTGCCACCACTGGTCTAATACTACATTCATCCTGGTTTATCTTAAACTGCTTTTGGCCATTTTGAAAGCTATTTACATGCACTGAACTTCTGTTCTGTTCCAGATTTGAACCAGTTTCTGATCACTAATACTGCTTTATGTGTAATTTCTGTCCCTAGCCTTTTACTTGAATTCTCTGATCTGCGTTGTCCCACAGAAGCACAGTTGTAATAGTAGTTCACAGAACAAAATTCAGTGTTTGATATAGCTGGGGCTTGATTTATTGCTTTGAAACTTAGGACCAAATTTCTAAACTGGCATTAGCTCTAACTGGGAGCCAGCTGGGTCTTGTGTTCACAGCAACTTAAGCAGTGGAGAAGGCAGATAGCCAAAATCCATACCAGTTGGAGTCCATGTATCTTCACATTCAGCTGCGCATGAAATGAGTTATAATATTCTATCATGGGAGTGACAAAAAGGATGAAGTTTCCTGGTGAGCTGGAAGAGAAAGAAGATATGTTGGAAACTGATATACCTGGTTGTCCTAACTTAGCAAGGGGCCAAAAAAAAAAGAAAAGGAACTTGGGGTTTGCTGTCACTAAAGATATGGATTCCACTAACTACAATGGAATTACTCTTGATATATACAAGCATAACTGACTGGAACCTGTCAAAAAAGACCCAGCTTTTTGAGAAGGGTTTCATTTTTGTGCAAAATTGAGTCAAGTTCTTCCCACTTGACATAAAAAGGAATGCTCATCATGGACACTCTTCAATTTTTTAAATGACAATAATTGTGCCCAATAAAACGTGTATGGGCAAAATACTTAGACAAGCATCATTGATACAATATGGAAAAAAAGCAGGAAAATTACAGTAAATAAAAACATTAATTTGGCTAAAGCTTTTGTAATATGATGTCAGTGATGAACAATATGGTTGAAGCACAGTCCTAAATTACTTTCCAGTTCTCAACTGGAAAAGGTGATTGTATCAGCAATGCCACATAGAGTATTCATTGTACCTCATGTATTATGTGGGACAATACTAGTCAAAAAAGGTAACTTTTACACTAAATCTGCACCATAAAAACATTTATTGCATTTTCTGTACTCTAATCTCGAAACTAATACAGTATGAATGTTTACAATGCATTGAGGTAGAAGTTACAATAAAATTATTGCTTCTTTGTCATTTAGGTCTTCAAATAATTATTTTATGACTTCTTGGTCTTCTTTAGTTCATCTTACTTTCTGGAAATTAATAGACCATTTACATTTTATTTTACATTTATTGTATTGTGGGTATTTTAAGCTCCAAAGTAGATTATTTTGGCCCTAAGCTATATTCAAACCCTAAAAATTATTCATATCACCCAAGCACTTGTTCTATTTTCAGTATTTCTGCTTGTATTTTATTAAATAAATTCATCAACTTTCTTCAGTTTGTTTTCAGCACTGAATCTGATAAAAGAGTTTTTAAAAAGCAGTCTGGAATCATTGAACAACGAACAGAAAGGCTACTTTAAACAATTGAAATGAACTGTGTGATTTGTAAAAGACAGTCAGCTGTGTATGGTAATAAAAATAAATAATCCGCAACAGGAAAGTGTGTCCTCTATTAGAATTTTTGTAACTTTTTCTGGATATTTTTTCATCATATTTATTGTGTTACAAAGGTGATGAAAATCTAAAATAAAAAGATTTTAACCTTTCAGATCTTGCTTTGAATAAAGGATACCAAACTATAATCACTGAGAAATTCCTCTAGAAATTTTGGAAAACAGTATTTTCCTCAGTATTTGGCAAGTTTCTCTTTCTTACTGTTTATACCTGTGAGACAGAGAGAGAGAGATGCACCTACTCTAGGGAGTCTTTATATTATCCAACAGAGTGCAAGAAATTAAAACTGGGAATAATCTCACAGGACAGCTGCAAATCTCCATCCCAAACACAAATGAACAAGCAGGACTCCCGCGTCCCAAATCTCCCCTCCCACCTAAATCAGGCTTCAACATGTGCACCTGGGCAAAAGGATGGGCCTCTTAACAACTGTATCTTTTACCAGAAATTGGTCTGAAGTTTTTAAAATATAGTCCTTTGATTTTTTTGCTAGTACCAAGTCCTTGTCCTGCTTTTGTGTCAGACATTGTAAAGGAGAGAGTATACGCAGGCCATTTTCCACTTAACATTTTTGTCATGAGGCAACAATGGACTCAGTTGTTCATCTTCCTTGGAGAATAAAACCAAGCCCACTTTTTTTCCCCCCACAAATCAGCTAGCTGTTATCATTATCAGTCTTCATGAAATGACAAAGGCCAAGATGCCTGTATGATAACAGTTTTTCTTTTTTTACCTATCAGAACAGTCTCTTTGTGTGTTAACGGTGATAGGACAATGTATTTACTTTTTCTGTTGTATCTTAGTGTTTCCCTCTTGCAGCTATTCTCAAATGCATTGTACACTTGCTGTGGACCAGACCGGTGAGACTGATCTTACTTCTCAGCCAGATGCTCTTGTTATTGTGTATAACTGACTCTTCTTCTCCTATCTACCCAATTAATGTAATTCTAATTCAAATTGTTTTCTGATTCTGTGGTGATTTAAGTGGTGACTCATGAAGCATCTCTCCCCTTATCTGTCTTCACTTAAAAATGCTTCTCTTTCCAGATTGACTTATATGTAAAAGCTATATCTGGCCATGCACACAGATTTGCCTCTGACAGCTGGAAAGTTTTGCACCAAATCCAAAGGTAATTATGTTCTCACTTATTCTATGAAGCGTCTTGTAAAAAGCCTTTGAATTTGAAAGATTTCATAATTAGGCCTCTATTAAGTAGGTGTCTGCATTTGCTGAAATCCCACATTTTGAAATCCAGACTGCCTCTACTTTCTTGGCATGGATTTACAAACCAGTCCTGATACTTTGTTCTGGGCAGACACAGCTTTTCTGAATGACCGAATATGACCCCATCAGTTTGATAGTAGAGAATTTTATTGATACACAGTGGTAGCAAATAAGACTAATGCAAGCAAAGCAAGTGAAATAACTACACCATCCTACTTATTTAGATCTAGGGTTTCATAGGGAGATGGTATGTCTGGCCAGTATGCTAAGGCCACCTCGTGGTCCTGGCTTCAGTCTCTTGGTGAGCATGTCAATAGCCTGGGAGGTTGGGGGCCAATGCCAAACTGCTGCCCTGAAGATCCCTCCTTTTGTATTCTTTTTCCTGATGATTCTTCATTTCCAGGTACCAGTGATTGGCTTTCCTGTGGTTGTCATGCTGTCCATGTTCTGCCCTGTTAGCTTAGTCCTTTATTTCTTTAAAACACATTGTGTATATACACCCTAATTTGGTCATTCGCCGGTACCTTTATTTGGTCATTCCCGGTCTTCTAATTTGGCCATTCCACTAAAACCTGAGACTTTTCACCAGGTTACAGCTGGTCATTGTGACCTGATGCTAATTCTGCATGCTCTATCTTGTTATGGGTTTTCATGGAACATTGTAGTTGTTTTGCTGCCATATGTTTTCAATTTCCCTGGATGTATGTGCCTGTCTCTCTGCTAATCTTAGACCCTTGGATGCTAAAATGCTGAGAATGTGAATCTTTGCCACAAACAGACTTTAGAAACCAATTAAATCTTTCCCATTCCCCTAGACCATCATTCTAATACAAGCCAATTTCTAAAAGCAAATTTCTAAATATCATTCTGTAGCCATCAAACTTCAAAGTCTATTTTTCCTTATTATCTAAAAAATCCTTTTTTCCTTTCACTTTTGAAATTAGGATAATCTTTTTAAAAGCACGTTTCTCTCCTGATTTAATATATATTTTCCTAAAAATACACACAACACTTCAAGTGTGTTCAGAAGTCTTAGGAATTCTCCCTCATTGTAGATCCAGCTTTTTCAGCATTCATTGAAATTCTTTCAGCAGAATGGCATACCCTCCTGATATTCCTACAATAGCATGATATTATAAGTCTGAGGTTTCTGCTGGGTTTCCTATCATGGGATCAAACACATACTATACTCCTTACAATATATAGGCTTGGCTCTGTGATACACCCAGAGTATTTAAAATACAATTTTGTAAGGGAAATCCTAAAATAAAAGGTGTTAGATTTGCTTCCCCTGATATTTCTAATGGAATGCAGCTCAGGATGCAAGAAAGAGCTCTACCTTTTTTGGTTAACTATATCATATTGAGAGAAACAGTTTTACTTCTTTACTTCAAATTTTACCTTCCAGCTTTACATTATAAAAAATATAACCAATCTATCTGGAAAGAATGCTTGGTCATGTCCTTAATGATTAGGGAGAAAAAAAAATCTCTCTCAGCCTTCCAAAGACCCAATCCAAAAGGAGTTGGGCTTTCATGATGAAAAATTCATTTTATTTGTATTTACTGTCTATCCAGTAACACTCCAAGTTAACTTTAAGAAAACCATTAGGAAGGTTCTGCATTCCAAAATCAGGAGAAACCTGAACTAAACCTGCATTTAAAAACAGAAATTACTGTTTTAACTGTTTGCCTTCCCATTTTGTAGAAATAACATGTGGAAAAAGTGGGACGATATTATCCTGGACAAGTGTTTCCTGACTATTGCCAATAAATAGCCAGTAAATATTTAAGAACTTCCCAAATGCAAACTGCATAAGAAAAGACCCACAAAGGAAATTGAAAACTCATTTCTCCCAGATGGATTTTGTCTCACTTGTTCCGATGGGGTTGTCCAGGCTTGCCTCCCTGTGAAAAGTGCTGAAGCTCATCCCGCTGGGGGGGTTAGTTCACTAGAGGGGTTGTTTGTTTGGTTGGGGGGCGGCCAAGGGGCTAAAATAGCCACTTGTCCTGGGGGGAGAGCTGCCATGATCCTGCCAACCCCCCTGCAAAACCGCCAGCCCCTGACATTGCCCTGCTCTTCCCCCCCACCCCAACTTACTTCAATCAGGTTTCCAGGACTGGTGAACACCAGTAAAACCAGCCTCAAGAGCAGTTTACAGAATTGCAAGTAGTTTGGCAGCATTGGGAGGCATGCTGAGAGGTCCAGGGGGTTTGGCAAGATCAGAGAGCCTCGCTGTCCTCCCCCAAAACCCTCCC